CTCGTTTGTAATAGAAGTTTGTACTCGTACTCGAATAATTAGAATAAAAACGACGATATATCATTGGATACACATCATCGAGCGTGAAACATTTTATTCGAAAACACGGAATATTGAAGAAGAAAAAAAGAAAAAAATTCAAAAAAATACTTTTAACAAATTTTCAACACGAGAGAAAAATTATGGAAAAAGTGAATTATTTATTATACGGAGAGCGTGAATAATACACTGTTTATACGTACCAGGAGATATATGTACAGCCGTACACGTATACGTGCCGTGTGCAATGGTTTTTTTTTCTTTTTACGTTTAATCCAACGTAACTTTTATAACACGCAATGCGTTATACCACACGTTTATTCGTAATAATTTTTCATCGGCAGCGAGGCTAACAAATGTCTCCCGGAGTATGTACAGAATAGCGATAGAAAAACGTTCTTGTTGTACGCGTATTCCGTTCACGAAGTAAACACCCAATGCGTTCAGTACGTTGCACGCGATTTCTTTCACTGTAGGTGAGACGAGAAATTCTTACCGGCGCGGCGGCGGATCCCCGTGACGACGACGACGGTGGATTTTACAAAAGAAAAGGCTTTCTACCGACTTGATATGGTGCGTTTTCGTATTCTTTTCAACCCGTCGCCCATCTACCTGAACGTAACCTCACGCTGGGGGGCTTGTTATCCACCTCCCCTTCGACGAACAAATCTCTCCGTACATGCGGCCAAACACACGCACACACACGAACTCACACACAAGCATTCAACACAAATACCCCGTCCGATATGCCGTCGTGTTTTAGGACCAGTTTTCATACACGTATACGTATGTACAGTGTTATCTGCCCGTCGGAATCGTTGGGAGTTGGTAAATTTTTTTCGTCTGACCTTGACGTCTCCCGAAGAATGTATACACATGTATTATTTTATATCTATACAGAAAGAGAGAGAGCCGTATTTATATTATTTATATGTTTATACCTACGTGTGGTGTGTGCGTGTGCCTACCTATACTTACACATCACGTGTGGACGTACGGTTGGAGGTATTCGAAGGAGGAGGAAACGCGCAAACGATAAATGTCCGTATCGAGTGATGGGAAGGCGCTGAAAAACAAAACCGAAATCAGAAAAGGCATAATGCGTACAAGGTGTATGGGAAACGTTCGATTGACGCGTGTTCGCGCGAAAGTTGTGATCCAGCGTGTAAACGTCGAAAATTCGTGCCGTAGCGGATCAAGGATCACGGTTTACCGATTTTCTCCGACAAGACTGTCCTCTTTCTCATCGCCCGCTCGTCCTGGCCGTCGCGTTTGCAGGTCGTACGTGCACCGGTGTAGTGATACGTCCACACAAACACGCATACGAATACACGCATAAACATACGCATTACGCATAAATCAAACGCATCCGGCGCGTTTGAAATAATACATACAATATATGCGCACCAGCGAATATTCCAACCGCTGGTGCCGATGTGCCCGTATTACCGTGACTGCACTATAAATATACGCGGAGAGAAGATTTCGTCGTACACGTGTTACAGGCCAATAAATCCTATTGGCCTTTCCCTCCCTTGACTCTCAACCCTTGTACACGCACACTCGTGTGCACGCACGCCGTTGGCGACCACCTCTCCTTTTCGTTTAGTCAGTTGTCGCCGTCCGACTTCCCAAACCTCGCGCGGATCGTACGCCACTACACGCCATGCGAACAAGCGAATTTTAATTATTCAGCATTTAATCACGGAAACCTCTGCAGTCACATGTATGTGGTACTTCCATACAGTGCGTGCACCGTTGTGCCCAGCTCTTATTTAACATTTTGCCCTCTATATTATGCACCAAATGGCGCACGCACGGCTATAAGATTAATAACATGTGCCGCGCCAATAGCGGAAGACCACTACCGCGGACTTGTAACCCTTTTGTTACACACCCTCCACCGAGATCCCCGTATAACGCCGCGATTTCCGTTCGGTGGACATCGGACGAGTTTTTTTCCACGTCCGACACACTGCAGCTGACGGATTTTATAACCCGAGGTCTTCATACATTTCGAGGAGTTTCTTTATGATGCAAAACATTATTCCTCGTACTTTTCCGCCCCTCTTCTTTCACATCCATTATACCCGGTACAACGGTGTTAGTGACTACAGGTTCAATTCTATAAGTATAATTTTTTTCGATTTTCGCTTATATTACCTATTATTTACAAATTATTAATACGACAAGCGCTCATATTATCCATGGCAATTTTCTAAGATCATAAATAATTCGCAGTACACTGTTATAATTTATCCAACTGAAGTTTTAAATCACTGATAATGGAACAAGAATTAATTATTGAATAGTTAAATTATGATAGATACCTAGACGATTTCAAAACATTTTTTTTAAATTAATGACGTTTAGTGCACACGAGTCAAGTAACTATATTATTTTATAATACTCTAATACCTAATTTTAGCCCACGATTACAATATTTTTTTAATCACATTTTACCACCTCATAACAAATAAAATATTGAGCTATTATTACTTAGTGGCTAATTATAATTATAATTAAATTAATATTACAGATTAGATGAAATTATGTAATTGTTTTGAAAAGTATTAAATTATATTTACTAATCTAGGTACTTGTTTATAAAACCTAAAATGATAGGATACTAAATGAATGATTTTAGCGGTACTTGGTATAATCAATTCAATCAGTTTGCTTTTTTTTTTTATTAAATATATTTTATAACGAACAACATTATTGATTTTTCCTTAATTAGGTATTCGTGTAATGATATGTTATATTATGGAAAATTAATATATCTAAATAATAGAAAAATATTCTACAACATAAAAAATGTTTTTGACTATGTTATTAGAACTGACGGGCTTTAATAATGTATCTCTGTATGAATGATTAAATTTAATTATAGCTTTCAAACGTCAATTTTAATTTTTAAAACGAATACTGAATACGACTAAATGTGTAAGTGCTCAATTAATAATTTAAAAATGTAAAATATTTTTGAACTATTAAAGATTTCTTCATTTAGGTTGTTACTATAAAATATTTTTAAAATATAAATCCGAAAAATCCTTGAGCATAGCAAAAAGCATATAATATAATACTGTTATTTAAATAGTTAGAATTATTTTTAATAACATTTTACATTTTTGATAAAGAAAATACATAAATTTATGATACATAAACCTCTAATAGTTACTTATTTGTTTATTAATTTAAATAATTAACCTAGATGTAGTATATACTTATATATATTATTTATTTCCTTGAATTAGGAACATTTTGTAAAAGTTACCTTCAAAAAAAAAAAAAACGTCAGCTTAATGTGTATTGTTTATCCAAGAGACAGTGCACCTCTATAACACTCGGAATCACTCGAGACACGAACATGATTAGCAAAAAAAATTATGAAATTAATAATTATAAAATTAATTATTTTTAAATCGCACATGTATCAACGGAAAACACAGAAAACAGTAATATTAACTTTCAACGGACTTTTAAAACTGTAATCGCGATTGTTTCGACGACGGAAACGACGGCAGATCTATTGACGATCGGTCGCAAAATATGATCATGGCAACTGAGTATGGCAAACGAAGGGGCCGGCCTTGGGGGTGGTTGAGGACAAGAGGCCATTAAAAAATAACTCGCAGCTGCAATAGGGGATGGAAGAACCCTCGGGAATAGGAAAAAAACCGGTATTAGGGTGAGTACATGGTTATCGTTCACCAACGGGCTGATTTGAAAATGTCGTCGGTTATACGCAAAAGAATTATACGGTTGTATGGTGTACACATGAATTACGACAATGTTTTATTGATAACGTCGTAAACAATTAAATCACCTACCATTAGTGTTTCCGAAATTAGAAAATAATATTTTTTAAAACATTTGTGGCATTCACTTTTTTTTATATATAAACAATGTACCATAATGCAGTAATAATAATTACGGAACATAATGGGAATTCGCGTAAAACATATGTTTTAACGTAAGACGATTGATTTATTTTCGATTTGTTCACGATCTAGATAATTCAACTGTCGTCGGTCTTAATGACTTTCCATGGTAATTTATAAATCCATTGAGATTAACAATTATTTGACGTAAAACGCGGTGTAGAACAAACATACGCAAACACTACATGTACGATAAAATTTAACTATTAGTGTTTCTAAGTCAGCAATCAATATTCGGCAAAAATAAAAAAAACGAAATTAGACTAATTACTCTCAGCGTCAGAAGTGTTCGGGGAGGAAAAAAAATAAAAACTGTGGTGAGAAACTAATAAAAAAAAAAAAACTGACACTGTTATCCGGCAGATAAATTTCTGTGGATATCTACACGTATACGATTAGACCGGATGGTTGTACATCCCTCGACTTTGAATACACATAAGACAGAAAAAAATTAATGATTATAGATTACCAACGGCCAACTGGTGCACATCATAGAGCGACCCTCATTGCCCGTCATGCCCACGGACCGATGGACACAGATCGAGTTTACTAGAAATAGAAATAAGAATAGAATCCTAGAATAGGATTCGAATCAGTTTGGAAATCGTACCCGCAAAGGAGTGGATCGTGTCGTGCGTTTCGCATGTGTACAGGTATAAAATTCAGTACATTGTAGCGCTGCCGTGGGCGTATTGAAGGGTAAATGGAATCGGCGAGGTCGTCGGGAACAAAATCACGACCGCGGTGGGTATCGGAAATTTCTTTTGAATCCGATGTGCGTACATGTTGCGCACACCATATGATATTGCATCCAGGTGGCCGTCGTAGTCAACGGTTGAACGTTGCCCACGAAAACTAGGTCATAAAATCCGTGTCGTTTGTGCACGGAGTGGTGTGTCCCTTTCTTTCTTTTTTTTTTCTTCTTTCCCCGGAAAGGGACGAAAATCTTCTTGTTACGACGGGTGACAAAACGGAGCACACGCTGCGGTGGTGCGCCTCAGTTACGATAATGTTATGTAAGCGAACTCACCTTTTTTGTGCACGTCGACGTGGAACTCTTCCGCCGCTCTTGGATCTGAAACACAAAACGCGTCATCCAGGTAAGTTTTTTTTTTTTAATTCACAAATCGGCCGACGGCTGTTGTCGACACATGCATTACGCATGAACACGGTTGGTTACTGTACGGCTAGGCTAATATTAGGTTTTTTTTAATTTAAAGATGAAACACGCAGAAATTATCTTAACGGTCGACAGGAGAAAAACATATTATTTTTTATAAAACGCATTTCGTTTGTATTTTCCACGGCTTGTAGAACCTCCAGCGGGGGCCGGAGTCTGTTCGGAGACGAATAATGTCGCGCGGGCCGTAATGATGTTTTCGCCTAATGGCCTAAGACGGATTCATTAAGTTTTTTTTCGTTGTTTTCACTACATCGTTTTATAGCCTACGCCAATCCTGTCTAAATATTCATATTGTGTGTCTATTTACTGTCCCTCGCGAACATAATTTTCAATTTGCATTCGACGTTATGGTCATTTAAGTAATCGTGGCCGTATCGCGTTGGAACAAAAAAAATTAAATAATAATAATAATAGTACACTATGCGTGAGGGCAGAATAGAGAAATATTTTTTTTTCTCTTTGTAAAATTCAATTATTATAAAAACCACCCACATCGGAAACGTATACAAAAATAACTCCGAAATTCGTTCGGCTGTCACCTGGGGATGATCTATATCCGAAACTAAAACGTATCCCATTAACGAACCGTGAAATTTGTTTTCAACACTTAAGGACAAGATCCTTGCTGGGCACAATGTTTGCAAACAAAACAGTCGCGGCATTTTTTTACTATTGATCGGAATGAAAAAAAATATCACACCCGTGGACAGAAGAACCTTTGTGTTCAAATTGCTATTTACAATGTTTGGGCTTTATACTGTTGTGACGGAAAATGGTCAAAAATTGAATACCATAAGGTACAACAGTATAAATTGTAATTTCGCAATATCGGTTAAAACGTGTAATTGAATTGTTTGAATTTCTCATTGAACAAAAAAAAGACGATGGATCGCATAAAAGTGAAAATACTATTTTTATAATATTTCGTTGAAAATACTTAAAATTATGTCGAGCAATCCCTGTTATGTATGTGTCAACGTACAATTCATAAATTAATATAAATTATGGCAAACTGTTTCAATAACGTTTAAAACAATAATGCGTAGAATATAATTGTTCACATAAATATTTTGCAAATAAATGTATGTTAAAATGCTTTTGAAATTCACTGTCGTGATTCCAGCTCTAAAATAAAATATGTAGAACTAAGACTGAACGAATAATGTAAGAAATATTAAATAATATAATATTTTTAACTTCGATGTAAATCAAATTTTATTATCCAATAATTCAACGGGCAAAATTAATGGTTAACGTTCTCTTGTTACGATGTTGACTATAAATTACGTAAAAATATCTTCAACAGAATTACAAAAATGTATATTTCACAATACATATTACACGTTCATATTCAAATGAAACAATCAAAATGTATTGATGTTTTTCCCCTTAAGTTTTATAAATCATATTTTTAACGTATAAAGGGCATTTCGTGTACCTTCTATTTGTCACGTGAAAAAAGTTCAACTGTTTACGATAAAAACAAAAAAAAAAAATTAAAACGAAAACAACAACTCCGTCGTGGATTTCTCGTGCTCATGTACTTCATAACGTAATACCTTTAGGTATCCGAATAAATAAAAAGCGGTCGACATTTATGTGTCATTTTAATGGGAGACATTTACTAGTAGGTTTTACAAGCGACATGTCATATGATAATAAATGGCGGCAGCGAAAAGTACATCACGTTATTTATGGTGCGCATGTGTATTTCTTTGCATTCCATCACGCTCGACACGTAATCTTTTCGTTTCGATTATTTTTTAATTTGAAGAGCTTTTTTTCCGTTTCTTTTGTTAATTTATATCTACACTCCTATACACATACGAAGACACGCCGCGTATGCTCAACACACAGCCAACTCCGTATAAAAACATCGAATTTCATTGGTCAAAAAAAAAGTTACTTCTGCTGGGGAAGAAGTAAAAAAAAGTAAATAAAAACAAATATAGAGTAAGGTAAATTACGTATTTTAATTGCAGAGACGTCTGTGATATTCTTCTCTTCTCTCTTCTCTCTACCACCCTACCTCCCTCCTTTCTCACCGAGGACAATTCTCTAACCTGTCGCATGGACTCTAGTAATAAATCTAGGTGATGTATAGCCGGAAACTTCCTCGGTTACGGTCGGGAAAAGTGTACTTCGCTACCAAAAAAAAAAAAAAAAAAGAATATACATATACACCACTATAGTGGAAGTCACGAAACATTTAGATTAAAAAATAATAATGATAAATAAATAAAGAACATATTACTCGGTGGTGGCAATCAATCGCACACACATATTATTGCATGGCCGATTTTAATCAGCTGATTTAAAATAATTATCTATTATAAAACGAATATAGTATAAATACAATAAAAGTAGCAATAAATGCATTAAAAATGCTGGTAATTATTTTTAATAATACATATAATAAACAACGATCTTGAATATTTAGTATACCTAAGTACAAATAAACATGATAACATTTCGGATGCAATGCATTGTGTTTTAATGTACTTATGCACACGAGCGATTATCCTGTAATTAATGTATTATGATCGCATGATCTATGCAGTTATAAATTATGAACATAAAATATAATGTAAAACTTATACGGAATTTAATCAAAGCTTCAATTGTATTATTTATGTACATAAAAATATTTTATTGTAACAGACTTTTACGTTGACAGGTCTTTAGCGATAACAACCATGTAGTTATATAGTGTTACTATTATTAACAATCGATATAATTTTATATTTCGTGTATTGGTGTTACAAAATCAATACTGAATGGATTATTTTCTAAATTGATCTTAATAGATACCTATATACTGTAAACTAAGATATTTGTGGGATCATTCTCACATATAAATAATTATTCAGTATCACCAGTCGATCCTCAAGAATGTGGATTTGATACTATACATTTTATTCTATGAAATCTTTGGGTTTTTTTTTTTTGAGTTTTTAAAATATGTTTCTCACAACTTTAATCTCATTATAGTTAATAATAATGCAATGTGGACTACTTAAAATAAACGTACTTCAAGTAGAAACTAAACGTTTTCGAGGGTTAATAAACCTTAAAAACATTCTTTAAGTGTGCTCATTATACATGTTTATCTATCGCACAATAAAGGAAAAAACATATTCTATCCTATACTGAAAAAACCAGTATATAGATTTACGCAATGAATGAATGAGATAACCATCGTATGTCTTAGCATAGAATAAGTTCAAGCGTGGGCGTGTGCACGTACGATTCAATCGTAAAATTCGTGCCATTTTAAATGTAGTTAAAGAATTCATAATATGATTTATTCCTAACACTTTTTATTTATCTGATCACGAGACTTATGGTCATCGCACATACGAAGATAAAAAATGTCAACAGTTGTCACCATGTTCAGAAAAAAGTTTTTTTGGCAAAAAAAAATTGTGGGCTTAGTTTTAGTCGAGAATAGTTTTTTTTTCCAAATGTTTAGGATTGATTTTTTTCAAATGCACAATAATGAATTGCCGACAAATATATAATACTGTGTAAATTTGGACAGATTATTGAATGCAGATATAAATTAAATGTTTAGAATAGAATAATTAATTAATTTAAAATAAATTAAAATAGTCATGGATCTCGTGTATATTATATGCTATAGACTCATCGAAACGTAAACAAATTAAAATAACCAGAAAGGCACGACGAAGAAAGAAACCTGAGAAAATAACGAAATGGATAAAAACTCTTTTAGGAAGTCAAATCTTGTGATATGCAAAACGTTTCAAACTTTCGTATGTACAAGTGTATATATATATATATCGGAACATTCGTGGTTTCTTATCAGTGTAAAGTAAATATATATATGCGGTTACGCTACGACCGCCAACAGTGGCGAAATAATTAAAACCGATTCCATTAAAGTCGACCGAGTCCCGCAATTATTCACCTCATCTTGAGTTCACACAAATATAAATTTATATATTAATACATATATATATATATATGTTTCGGGTGGTTTTTGTAGAACCAAAAAACCAATTTATTCTCCTTTGCACCCCCTCGTCGGCCTCATCCTGCAGTCGATGTCGGCTTTCTTTGTTTAATTCATGAACGCGCGCCGCCGCGCCAGGAGCTATTTGTCTGCGAACAGATAGGAGGGAAGCACCCGCTACTGCCCTCACCGAAGGGGTACATTTATCTCTGCCTGCGCACGGTCCTTAATGTGTATTCCATGCAAATGCTATCTCCAACCCGCCCACCCTCTGTGCGTGTATGTATGTGTGTGTGTGTGTGTGTGTGTGTGTGTGTGTGTGTGTGTGTGTGTATACGCCACCGCACATTCATTGGCAGTGGTGGCGATGGTACCGAAACCGATCGGCCGAAATCAACCTCCCGTCCTTTACACACGGTGTATACGGACACAGAAGGGTGAACGTATCACGCGGCCGAAGCAGTAAATCTCTGTTGATTCATTGGTTGGCGAAAAAAAAGGGAAAAAAAAGAAAAAAATACAGATGGCGATAGCCCGAGGGAGTCCATCACCACTTATTGGAATGCGCGCATATACATAACATGTATAATGTGTATGTAATGTGTTTGTTGCACGTACACGTGTGCGAATGCGCGCACCGTCATAACTACCCTGAGCGGATGTGTATGGCAGTGAACAACATAACATAAACTAATGTTTTTCTTTTGTTAACAATATGTGCCAAGATCATTATTCTAAACGCTCCAGTAGTGTGTGTGCTCTTATCGTCATAAATAAGCTAACCGTCAACGTTTAAACCATATTTAATAATCTTGTAAACAGTCGAAAAACCAGACGCTGAAATGCATTTAAAAAAATAATGTTTTCGTAAAATTTAAATTCATTAGAGATTTCTAGTTAAAAATTGATATGCAAACTATAATGCGCAATAACATGTTGGT